CGGATCGAAGGAATTTTTTCTGAGTGTTCGCGATCTTTGTATTAATAGGAATAACTTTTGTTCAGTGACTTTTGGAAATTTGTGTATAATTTGGGTTGCATTATAACTCGGGTCGTCTACATTAAGAGTGGTTACACACGGCGACTTTTAGCGGCGTTGCAAACGCTCGTTCGTGAAACACGCGATTGCATCGCTACACTATCGATTTATAGGCGATGGCATCGATGCAAGCAATGGCGCGTTTGTATCAATATAGTTGCGCGCTTGCATCGCTGCTTAAAGTCGCCGTGTGTAACTGCTCTCAAACGTATGAACTTTATAATATATAAAATTCGAATTTAAAAAAGTTAAGGAACCTATTTGGTATTTATTGACATCGTGGTTGTGCATCGTAAGGTTTGGGATAATGTAAAGTAATAACTAATAAATAAACAATCGAAAAAACAGTTTAAGAGGTTGAAGTAAATCTGAACTCATTTCCATTAACCAATATTAAAAAAAATACGATATCGCCTCTTTGTGTAATAAGTACACACACTTATGCAAAAATGATAATTTCTCATTCGATGACTTTTCCATGCTTAAATAGGAGAGTTATATAATTTCACATAAACAATTTGTCCATGTACTTCGTATTACTTTTGGGGTTTTTATGTAATAAGAGCACTTTTGACGTGTAATCATTTATGTGGCTTTATTTATTATACCAGGGATATGATATAGTGATTAAACTCGTTTCTTAAAAACTATTTTTTTTAAATATTAAGTGACGGGACGAACAAGTCGTCCTCCTGATGGTAACCTACACGCCTATCCATAACAGTTGCAGTGCCACTCAGAGCTTTAAATCGCAGAGAATCTTTAAATAGAGGAGTGAGCCTTAGTACTTTACCATTAATACAAGTAGCAATCTTATTTATACGTACGAGTATGTCCCGCTCATCTTCGAAGTATGTTTTACGTGTCACCATGATGCAACTCTAAGTGCAGTAGTGCACCGACCCATCACGTACTCACGGTTATTCCGTACGTGTAATTGGATGCATTACTCGTGTACTTACTTTGTGTACGTACGCGTGAAACACCTAAATAGAGTCTTAATCTCGTATAATTGGCAGTAAACGGGAGGTTTGGTGGGGCCATTCGTCAAAGCCTGTAACTTTTTTAAAAATATGTCAAGTGACGGGATGAACAAGTCATGCGCCTGGTGGTAAGCGACACGTCTGTCCTTAATAGTTTAGTGCCGCTCAGAGTTTTAAATCGCAAAGATTTGAGGAGCATTGCCATTGCGCCCGTCACTTTGAGACATTAGTTAACAAGTTGTAACTTGTGCCTGTAATTTCAGCAGCATCCTTATCCTTCGAAATCGGAACGCAATAATGCTCACATTACAGCTTGACGACAGAAATAGGTAAGGTGGCAGACTCCCTCCGAGAAATTCTTTCACAAAGAGCTCTACTGCTGGTAAAAAGCTCTACTACCAATTAAGCATAGTTTCTGGAACAAGAGCATCACCAAGTGTAAATTTGCTGTAGTTTTTCTGCTCCTATGTATTTAAAGGTTAGTTAGTTAAAACATCAGCAATTAACACCTAAATTACGGTCCGTACTATTTCTTAACAGCTTCGCTATTAAGTGCTGTAGAGCTGGCAAATTCTCATGTATGAATAGAGTATATCTTCAACATCTTGGATGATTCTATCTCAATGACCAAGACCCTGTACTTTATTGATTAGGCCTTGATAGCAATCTTGAACCATAACTAAAATATTGAGTGACGTTTATTATAATAAGTGGAAGATTTGACAACTGTCGAAGGATGCGAATCTTTAATGTGCACTCCTGTGATATGTAAAATACAGTTGATTTTGAAACACGTGATTTTGTACGAGAGAAATAACTACATAAAATGATATATATATATATATTGTTTTCTAAAAAAAACTATGATGTATATCCAAAAAATATAAATACGTAAACGTAATAATTTGTTATAAAATATAAAAACGAATTGAAGTATGTTAAGGTTACGTCCTATAAAAACATTTTTACTTTTCTGTAGTAGTCCGTGGCTTCACAGTCCTTATAAAGACTTGACAATTAATTTTCTTAAATGAATTGCAATATCAAGAAATGATTGACAGATTAATGTGTAAATTTGAAATTTAATATAAAAGACTCAAGTGTAGGGTCAAGTACATAAAATTATGTTCCTATATTGTTGCAATCTATTGTTTGAAAAAGTTTAACAAGGTTTGTTTACTGAAAGAAACTCGTGTTGCAGTTTGGTGTTACATTATTATTAAGGCTTGTAGAAATAACATTTTATTTACTATGTTACATGACAGAGCAACGCCTAAATATAACTTAAAGAAACGATCATTCTCCACTTATATATATGTCCATTACCCTGGTAGACACCTCAAAATGTTCTTTGTTTGATGTTAATTCGAAACTTATTTTTTAATCGACTTAAAAAGAAGAGGTTCTCAATTCGACCGTATCTTTTTAACGTTAATTTTACATGATTACTCAGACATTTGTGAACTGATTTCAATGGTTCTTTATTATTGGAAAGGGTATTACTATAAGGGTAAATATTCTTCCTCTATGGGTGATAAATTGGGGGATGAATCCGTTTTATCGACTTTCCGATTTCAGAAAAACTTGGCAAATAGATGGAATTCCACAAACTATTGAGATCGGGGAGATTTTGTTTTATAAAAAAAAAGTTATTACTATTAATGAATCTATAGACGAATAGAAGATTACTCCGTATCTGATTCACTGTGTTGCAATGTGTACTAATTTGCACAAAATCGCGAGCACTGAATGTATGAATGCATGCACGGCCTTTATTATATGACGAATGATTTGCTTATGGAATATACAGATATGTAGAATAACAAGCAAATAATCGAGAGTTGGTACGATACATAAGCTCTACTAAACATTTCTCTTTCTATATATTATTATTGTTCTGGCAAGTTCACTATCTAGTTGTGTTACATCGAAACAGGGCGATTCCATTCATGATTTTGAAAAATTTTTATTGCGGGACAACACTGAAAAAAAACCTAGACAATAAAAGGTACAAATATTTACAAATAAGGTGAAAAGATTATTACTATCAAACTGTTTTTATAATTAATAACAATGGAAGTAAATTAATTTGCTACGCCGCGAACCCAGTGAAGGTTAAATTGTGCAAAATACCTGCGCTTGTATTAAATATTGTTTTCATGCAGTTAATTTTCCGACCCTCCCTCCGCATAAAATTAATAAAATAAATAACACACAGGTTGAGGATTTTTATTTTCGACAACTTATTATAGTTCTAAGAAGCCTGTACAGAAATGTAAGTTCTTCAAGTAATACAGCTCTATGTCCCCAAAGCAAGGCTGCTGGTACCTTTTTCTTATACGAGAAGCGAGCGAGGCGCAGACCATAAATAATCCAAGTACGGCGTAAGGTTAAGAACAATCGTGTGATGTTATTAAATATTAATTATTGCCGTTTACCACAACACCTTTGTCCGACGTCAAGGCTGATACATGTAATCCTTCTGTAAATATATTTTTCTACTCCCTCATAATCTATCAATTATAATTTCATAAACCATATCACAAAGGCGCTCTTTTTAATTCTGAATCAAAATTTTGTTGTCTACGGTACTCCATACTGAACTGAAAAAAATCACAGAACTATGCGTTCAAAAAATTTTCACTAATGAAAATATCTAATAAGACTCTACTCTAACGCTCTACTAGTCTACTACCTCTTGATTTGTTAAAATATAAGTGTTACTTGGCCAATCACGGATACTGCAATTCTATCTTTTTGGTTTTTGTTTTGTAGTGTTTGATGTTTCACTACATGGTTCAATTTACATCGTGGCGGAAGAGAATGTAAGCAATTTTTTGTAATTATAGCATAATGAGCTGTAATGTCAATTGTGTAATATACAAACTGTTACGATATAGATGAGAATTCTCGAGACTGCACGAGAATTCTCCAGTCGACCTGTTTCTGGTTCGTATCTAGTTAATATAAAGTTCATTATGCCATGATTACAAAAAGCTTAACGTCTCTCTTTTTTAGTTACGGATCTCTAAAAATATTAAATAATCGTAATTTCCTTACCGTCAATACAATAATTATTGTCAAGAAGCGCAGAGTAATTCCACGAGCTAAAGAGCCATTCTGTAGTCCGTGTCACAGCCGAATTGAGGAATCCATGGATTAAAAACAGATTGGACGTAGATCAAAATAACTCGGTATAGTTCTTCAATAGTATTTTTTCAAGAAATAAATACAATTAAAGTACAACGTTTTATTTTTACTTTAATAATTAGGATTTAAATTGCAATCAATTGTATAAAAATGGTAATATAAAATATAGATCTAAATTGGTCTTAGTAACTTAATATTTTTACATTATTTACAATACGAATTACATAGCACTATAGCATCTTTTGAAAATAATTACAATTAATATAATATTGCATTGAGTATTAAAATATTTTTCTAAAAATTTAAATATCATTATTTTGTACATAAAATGATTAGATATCAATAGTTTTTGTACTAAATCTCTAAATTGTGTCCGGATAATACAAAAATAGTTTTGTAAAAGCTAAAAATAAATAATTAGGAGTAGGTAACTAACTTGTGAAAAAAACTAAGCAAAATTTTTACTAAGATACAATGATGCGCCTTATCTAATAGCCTTTAGAATTCGTTTGGAATGTAAATGATTAAACTAAATATAAGTAGGTTGCTATTAATGTAATCCATTGAAAGAAACTCAAAGGAAGCTTACTTACAAAAATAAATTTTGAATATAATCATGATGCAACACAATGCTGGATAGGTATGTAACAAAAATATTTTTACCCCCAACAAATGAAACTAAAAATGTTTATGACCGTTGAAATAAGTAGGTAGCACTTGAAATTATACTATAACAGCATCAAACAATATCAAATGAACTAAACATATAAGCTTCGCAGAGCTTATGAGTTTCTTTTAAAATAAATTAAAATCACTAGATTTCATTTGTTTTGTGCACGAGAAGTTGCACATAGGAAGTTATCCGAAGTTCTCGAAATGATGTATGAAGTAGGGAAGCCGTCGTGTCCGGTTCACTTGCTCGCATGCTGACATTATGGACTTTGTCAGTGGTCGTGGACCGCACGAGAATACTCCGATTTTTGATACCTGTTACATGGAAGATATTAAGTTCAATAAACACTTAATTACAGTGAATAGCGACATATCTAGCCAGGGCTGGTAGTTGTAAAGGTGCCTAACTTTTGATTTTTTAACTTGACTTTTTTGTTTTTAGGGATAATGTTTTGAGTGTGTTTTAGACGTACAATTTTTTATCTTTTTAAGTAAACCAGTGGAATGCTGTTTTGAATTCTTTGATCAAAAATACTCCTTAAACGACACCACTAACGAATTCCCTGCCTGCGACTTTGTTTCCGAGCACATACAACCCGATTACTTTTAAGGTCCAAATAGACACCTTCTGAGCGATCTCGTTCCATCGTAAACCCTATTTTTGCTCCAGGGCTAGATAGTGATAAAGAGCAAATCCATTATACTTAAATAAATACGAAATGGTAGTTGCTTTACAAACCCCACAACTCCTCCTCCACAACTCATCATTAGTGAAACGGTAAATAAGGTTATTCAATCAGAATGATAATTAAAGGCTTTGAATAACATTATTATAGTCACGAAGAATAAAGTACTCTAGTAAAGGGTATAACGTTAATCGATGTGATGAAAGTAAAGTAAATCAGTGACAAGCAAATGAAATTACTTACATAGCTATGTTTCTTTTGAACGAATTTAAGGAAGGAGGACATGTCTGGTCGTCCAAAATGGTTTACCGCTTTCAACCCGGTGAACATTGAAGTGCGAGATAGGCGTTGGAAGTGATTCTCGCAGATATACTGAAATAAAATTTGATAGATCGTTTAAAAGCCAACTCTCAAAGAAATCAATAAAGATCCATGAGGTGAATAAATCCAGTGTTTTTTTTCCTTGTCCTAGTAATCCCTTCACATCATACCTGAATCTGAATCATTAATATTTGTGAAGTTAAAAATGGCACTAGGACCAACCACGAACTATTAGGAAATGAACAACTTCAACTACTTCCGAAAGTGTTTTTTATCATATCAAGTGACGGAACGAACAAGTCGTGCGGCTGGTGGTAAGCGACATGTCTGTACATAGTTGTTGTAGTGCTACATAGAGCTTTAAATCACTAAGATCTGAGGACCACTGCCACTGTGCCCGTCACCTTGCTTGAGACACAAGTTGACAAGTCCTATGTGCATGTAACACATGTAACTTCACCAGCACCCTTACCACTATTAGTAAACTTTTTTGTTAAGTTTTATTGTAATTCATTGTTGAATATTGCGTACAAAGATAACGAGATTTTTTATTCTTGAATGTATCTGGTCCGTATATGTTCTAATTATCTAGATTAAGAATTATTTTAATAATTATGGAATATATTACCAGCATAGTAGTTCTAAGATCGAACTTGTGGAAGAACTGTGTGATGAAGATGTGTATCTCAAGCACGTTGGTAACGTCTTTGCGCTCCACGTCGCGTAGCACGTCGATGAACCATTCGAAGTGCTTGTGCGAAGGACAGATCCATAGGAAGTATACCTGAGGAGTATGTGAAATTAATTTACAAAGCAGTTAATGTATTGATAAAAGTGTTACCTTGGTATCATAGAGAAAGAGCAAAGAATTTTTATGGAGGATCGTCAAAGGATTGAACAGTGTGTGTTACATTTGAGCAAACTTAGTTGATGTGAAATTGTAATATAACAAGTTTTAGAATCCAAATGCACAATGCGTTTACAACACATTGGTTTTACCTTTTTACATGCTACTCCAGAGTATCTGTTCGTGGAAGTGCCAAAGACCAGATCATTGAGAATGGAGGCATAAGGCGTGACGCCGATGCCGCCGCCCACCATCACAGCGACCTCGAACTTGTACCAGTCTTGGTTGCCGCCTCCGAATGGACCTTGTATTCTGAACATATTATAAAAATAAGTTTTTTTTTTAATTATGTTTCATTCTTTGTTTTATTAATTTTCATTCTTTCCTAAAATATCATATTTCGGATACTATAATTTCGATACGCTGTCGTATTACCACCTTGTGGATGACACAGAATATTTTTTGTTTAATTACATCAGTATAATAAAGAAATGAGCGACGAAAGGGAAAAAAATATAAGAGTAAAAGCAAAGAGAGATTGTTTTTCTTGATTCGCCTAACACATAATTGGTACGTCCTTCGGCCTACATAATGTGACACACATAAAATTACCAAAGACCGATAGTGGTATTTCACGCAACAAAGAGCGTAAACAAACACACAATGGTCTGAATTTCTAAAGCAAACTCGCTTTGAGCGTTGGCGTTACCCAAAGACGTGACTGGATGCCGTTTCTAGGTCTTATTTGCTTATGAAGTAATACTTACTCGTATTCTTGATATTTATGCAATGTATACATAACGACAATTTTTCTTCAAAGGCAAGGGTAGGGCAAACACGTATTATAAGGATTTCTTTCTTTAAGTCCCTAAAGGTATGCGCTTAGGCAATAAATGGCTGTCCAATGTCTTTTTCAACAAACTAAACACAAGATTCGTCGTATTGTAAATTAACTGATCGCTATGTATGAATAAGGTTATTTGAATATATTCTGTAGCGTATCTTTAATTCAGCTGTCATTTCGTCTTACTTACCTGATTCTAGGTTGATCCTCAGGGTTATAATTGCAAGGATCAAAATAGTTCCTCAACTTCCACGTCCAAGGACCTTGAGCTTTGATATGACATGAGAGGAAGTTTTCATGTGGGGCTGAAGTCAGAGTGAAGGAATGGAATTCTTCCTTTTTGAATGCTGTACATGCCAATCGCACCCATTGACCTATAATATAAAATTACGTCAGATGTGTACCTATCCTCGGGCGCGTTGTCACAATTTCAGTACCTCTGATCCTTACCTGATAAATATTTCAAGTTTGGTGGTCTGTAGAACTTGATTTTTATAACATCTGACGGTAACATTTCAGTTTCAAGAACGTCCAGAGCTAAGTATTTCGTGCGTAGAGATACGACCTGCAAAAAATTGTGCATTGTTAGAGAGATTATGTGTCTTGAACAGTATTTGAATATTCGGTAACAGATTATATGGCAATACTGAGATTCGACTTTTTTGCTTTACCTTGTCTAAAATATAAATAATAGCTGGTCCCATAAAGAATATCCAAAAACGAGGTGCTCCTGTAAGCCTAGCCAATCCATGAACTAGGCAAAGAGCATACAGAGCCACATGCAAAGAATGAGCACGCCAGAACCACGGATACGCACGCTTGCGTATTACTGGATGTGCAAATATGAAGATTATGCACATTATTATGAATAGCAGAACTCCACTTATACCTGAATCAAAGAAAATATGGTACAGTACAGTACAGTAATTTACACATCAATTACGTTTTTGATTACTCAAAGCCATAAACTTAGCTTGATCCTACATTTACGTGATGGTTGTATGTTTTTTTTATTGACTAAAATACAGAAAAAATCGTATTTACTAATTACAAGCTTCGCTCACAAAAGCCCTTCCGGTTTTATTTGCGGCAAAGGAGTTCAGTAAATGTAATTATATATACGTTACAAAATGTAAACTGAAGAACCTTTTATTGGAAAAATCCCTTTACTCAATAACAGAGTAAATTCAAAATACTATATAAACAATTATATTATTATATTTATTAATGAATTTGACATTCACCGTATTATTATACTTTAATTTATATTTATTAGTTATTAAGAATCCATATTGACATTTCCTGTATACAGTACACCTGACATTGTTACTTTAATTCATTTATTTATTAGTTTCATTAATTATCTTGATTTGTATCATATGTATGCTATTGTGAACTATGACTTACTATTATATAATTATTTATCATTATTTTGTAAACTGACGATGGCTTTTCGAAGAGTAGTATAAAATGGCATGTAATTGTATTTGCATGAAATTTGTAATGTTGACATAAATAAACTGAACCAAACTAAACTAAAATAACATACAAACCTGTGACAGTCTGGAATACCCAATATGTAATTCCTGGTTTGAAATCTGACGTAAAGTGGACTTCCTTTGTAAGACATCGTAAATTTTCTACAGGTTGTGTTGATACGTGGTAGAAATTCACCATGTGTCCGGCAGTGTGGAGAAGAGAGAAAAAAAGGGCTGTGCAAGCTACAATTTTGTGGAACTGAATGCTTGAATCGAGAGGAATGTATTGTTGTATACTGAATTCCTGAAAGCAGCATGTAAGTATAGTTTTTAATTACGAATTAACATATAAGTACCTCTACAAAGTACAAGAGGCATTAAACTCACTTTTAACTTTGTTAACAAGTTCCTAGACATTGTTAACAGTAGCAAACTGTAGCAGAACGATAGAGAAGCCGCTGATCCTCTAGTTATAGCAATGCCCACACCCATGATGTGTCTCAAATCTAAGTGCTCAGACATGAACGAATAGTGGGCAAATCTTTCCACAAACAAGCCAATAGTTACGACGTAAAAGACAAATAAGTAGAAGATGTTTTGTCTGTTCTCTTCCAAAAATGTTGTGAGGTAATCCCATTTTAAAAGGAGCCAATGCCTGAGAACAAAATTTAAAATGTAATTATAATTTATTTTATTTTTATTGAATATTTTACCACTTTAATATTCATTTATTTTCTGTTAAAATACTCTACTAGTTTGTTATTATTATTGATACAAAGACAGAAGAAAAACACAGAAAAATTCCTTCGATTCGACTGGTTTTGAACCAGCGTCTGTTGCCTTAACGCAGCTACAAATCTGCCAGCTGAGCTACATAAGAATGAAGCCTGCAAACTTTACGAACTTCTTTATGTGTTTTTGCGTATATTTGATTGGGATTAAACGAATAATGTTTCCGTAGTCCTGTGAGACCTCTGAGAACTTATGAAGAAATTAATTATAATTAAGTGGATTACTTAATGAAGTAAGTTTTAAAGCTCGAAGATTTCATTAAATTTTACCTTGATTGTTCCATGGAAGGTTCAATATGAAAACTTGTCATTCTTGCAACGTTAGTGGAAGTGTCTAAGAAGTTCTGTTTCGCACCCTTACAGTCAAGTCCAATAGCTACAAATTCTCCTTTGTATTCTTTCATCATCACTTTGAAATCCGAATATGTGAGATGGTCTTTATGTTGAAGCCCTGCGTCCTGAAAACAAAGTCAATGTATGAAATTTCTGTTTTTTTGTTCATCTTTTCTTTATACCTATAATTAGTAGTGTTACCGCTTTGCCACCTTGATTTTGTATTGACATTGTGTTGCAGATGCCACAATAATATTTGCATAATATTTAATTTAAAAAAAAAACTTACAGAAAACATTCCATCAATCAATTCCGTGACGTGTTCGTCTCTAAGACTTGTGGTTCTTGCAATTTCTACTAGCGATCTCAGCATTTCACTTAACTCTCCTTTGTCGATGACTCCATTTCTATCGTTATCACACATGTCGAAAATTATACGAAGTTTGTCTTCTGTTGCACCTCTAGAGAATAACACTACTGTGTCCAAAAATTCCTGTAACATTGGTTTAAAAACATGTATTGTTTTCCTGTTAGTGATATAAATTTTACCCATTAGTTTAGTTTTATTGTGATTTAAAGTTTACCTGAAAGGAAATTCTCCCATCGCTGTCTTTATCTACAATATTGAACATCTTTTTTACAAACACAGCATCAGCTTTCATCCCAAGTGCACTAGCAAATTCACTCTTCGATAGTGAGGTTCGCATTACGATGGACTGTAAACAAACAATCGTTAAATAATTGATTTTAGACCCATATATAGAGTTCGTTTAAAAAAAACAAATATTCGCAATTGACATCCGAAAAAGAAGTTTATTTCCGATAAAGACTTTTATGCTTTGTGTTTTTGGATTGTATTTTCACCGCTAAGACTTACCTCAGGGTCAGCATTTTCTGATCTTCTTCTTTTTTCGCCAGGAGCCAGTCCAAATGTAATAGCATAAGCTTCTCTGAAAAAATGCTCTAGTTTGCGTTGTCTTCTTTCTCGTGTTTCTGCTGTAGCCAAAATTTGTTCGCGATGACCCTATAAAAATAATTGTTAATAAACATTGATTTGTTGTTGTATACAATACCACACAGGAAATCCTAATAAAGAAGGTAGTTTAGAGTTAATTGCCTTGTTACCTGACTAAGATTGAGGGCTTTCTTATGTTGAGCAAGGAATGTATCCAGTTTAACAAGAAACTTGCGTCGTGACGCTACCGAATCCATTTCCAATACTAAATCATGTTCGCGAGGTACTCGAATAAGAACAAGAGGACGTTTGTTATGACGACCTTCCTGAAAACAACAACCATAGAACATTTTAGTCTTACAGCAGAACATAAGTTTAATGATTACTTCATGTGATTACTCATGTGAACTTTCTTGATAATTACCTGGCTTTCAAGAACCGTTAGCTGATCTGTGTGATCCAAAGGCACAGTCCGCAATTTATCTCCTTTGCGATCAGTGACGTTCAGAGCTGGTTCAGGTCCTAGCCTCAATTTCACTAGTCTCTTATGAGATGCATGCACCCATTCTCGACAGACCATTTTATCTACTGTTGATGATCCTGTAGAAAATATTCGTAAGTTCATGGGATTCTATATATTATTACAAAAGTATATAAAATAGTAATTATACGGTGTCATCACAAATCATTAGGTGTGAATATACATATCTATAGAAAAGATATTATTCTACCTTTGTATTGTGCATTTTTCAGATGTTCTTGTTGAATTTTGAGTTTTCTTCTTCTACTGTTCTGTAATTTTACTACTCCGTATCCAGCTCCAGCACACAAAATGGGAACAAAACCTAATATGAGGCATATGTAGATGTAGGCAAATTCGTTACCCTAAAAAAATATTCAAAACTTATTTATTACATATAATAATATTTAATTAAGTCTGCTGTGAAATTGGTGTTTTGTGAAACTAGCCACTATTTCCAGTTTGACTTAAAAATTCAAATTTGTTTGTTTTTAAGGCATGTTATTTCATTTTAAAAAACAGCTATTCATTTACATTTTTTGGATTTGATTTTTCATATAATAATATTACATCTGCAACTATAGACGCTAAGATATCTTTGGTCATTTTTGAATATGAGTGTCTATACTAAAGTCCGCAATACTAACGAAAATTTCAACAAATTTTTTTTGTCTGAACGCACCTCAAAATAATCATATCCTTTCAAATATTTGCAAGGAGGCAACTTAGAGGCATTGAGTTGGTAAGGTTGTGGGCACGGATCTCCAGCACTCCAGTGAAAGACATCGCGTTGTATATCGTTCGGCCCTACAGCTGTACTGTTTACGATTATGTCCCAAAGTGTAATGCGACGGAGCTCTTCGATTTCGTCAGGTGTAAAAATTCTGAATACCATAAATACATTTATGAATTAATTTCGTTTTGACATTGTTTATATAGAAGGTATTAAAGCTGTACGTACCCATTTTTATAATTTTCGTACCAGAATCTGTCCGCATCTCGTATTCTTGTAAATTGATCTATTATTATGGCTCTGAATAGTTCTCCTGGATGTCCAGTTGATTCTAACATACCACCTGAAAGAAATATGAAGATTAAAAGTAGATTCATTTTTCTATTGAATGTTGTAGGTAGACGAAGAACATATGTTATTTAGTATTTTAAAACTTGGTACAAACTTACCGATGTAAACATCAATGTTATCAAGTCTACCGTCGTAAGCCTGAATCAGTTTTTGTAATAAGTCTGGGTTCTTCTCAAAAAGATTAGGATTGATTTCATTGAAGGTCTTAATTTTTGGAAGACCGAAGTATTCTCTAGAAGATTTAAAAGTATGTTAGGTAAATAGAACTAGTAGGTTTATGTAAATGACGTTTTCTTTAGGAAAGTAGGATAGTAGGAACAAAATTGACAATACCTAGCAGTGTTATAATCAGGAAGACCATTATCTCTTCCTCTCATAATGTTTAAAGCTCCAAGATCTCTTCTCGAAAATTCCATAGGGCCAAACAAATTGTCTCGAACATCAGAGCAAAGTAGCGCGTCTTCGCGTTCAGCGAGTTGGGAGGACATGCCCATGAGGACTTCTTCAATAGGCACTTGTGACATAACATCCTGGAAATTTTTGGATAGTGTTAGTGAGTATGTTAAACTGAAAAGTTAAGTTAAAATAAAATGCCACCTCAAGTTGTCATTCCCAAACACATTATACTTACATTACCATCCCACCAAGTTTGACACAATCTTATAGCATCATGACCTCCTGGAGCTCTTCCGTATCGGCAGTTCCTATCTCTTAATAGAATAGCTGGTGGGACAAGAGTATGACCAAATCTGAACGCAGCAACAGCGAAAGCGTGTGTCACTCCTGGAGCCACTTCAGCTTTGTATCCTTGGTATGGTTGTAATGGAACTCCAAGAAAGGATGGAACGTACTCGTAAAGTATGATGTTCTGAAAATATATGGACATGGAATAAGATAGAATCTCAGGGTCGTATTCTAGAACTCTACTCAATGCTCAAGTCAGGATTTGAGTATGGTTTAAAGCACTCGAAATCACACTCAAGTCCCTGCCTTCATTTCCAGTGCTTGTGTTTCCAGTGCAATCCTGACTTGAGCATTGAGTAGAGTTCTAGAATACAACCCTAAGACTTGTAAGGCAAGATTTAATTAGATGTTGAGATGGCCTCCTCTTGCGTGCCGAAGATCATGCCTGAGAGAGCGAAGTATGGTCGTTAAACTATTGTCGTTACTCACTTGTAAACTGGCAATGACAATTCGTCTGGCTCGCTGAAATAGTTGTTCGTCACTCCAGTCTGGATGCTGACGGTGTACGCGCTCTGCTACTACGTTATGCCATCGTAGGAGCAGGATACCAAATGTCACCATCGCTGGATTTTGGTTTGTTCTTGGGTCTCCCAATACTGTAACATAAGGTAAAGATGTTTGTTTCAATTGCACTTTCAATCAATTATGTTCTCCCACGTCTCAAAATGTTGTCTTTAACTTATGTATAGGATAGCACATGTGTTAAATTTTCATTTACAATCAAATATTAACAAATAACAGTTGTGTATCTTACAGAAAAGTCTTTCAGGGCTCAGCATTCTCATGTAGTGCGGCACTGGGTTGTTGAATAAAGGCACTCGCTTTGTGTTGCGAAGAGGCATGCCTCCTTCACTAGCCAAGCTTCCATTCTGTAAACGTTTAATAACTTTGTAAGTTTCTTTAATTTTATTTTGTTGCATACTAAGCAAAGAGTTAAGAGGCAGAAATTGTAATCTGCCCTTCTTATCATAACTAACATAATGATATTTTTAGCGAAACTTAGGTATTAATTTCTAATCGATGTTTTAATATCTTATTTAGTTTTATCTTAAGCAAAATCATCGTAACTTTCATTGTTTTAAAAAACTTTAGGTGCCAATATCCCGAAAGTTACCGAAATGCAAGGGCGTTAGTCATGACAAGGAGGGCAGTAAGAGAGTGTTAATTATACCCGTTGTTAAAGAAAAAGGTTATTGGGGAGCATCTATTTATTATGAAAATTATTGATAATATATTATGAAGAAATTTATAAACATGTCAAGTAAAAAAAAGTAATATTTTTAAAGGCGACTTTTATTTCCATGAAATAATTGCGTTATAGTAAAAGCTTGTATCACTGACTTAGGATATTTATCATTTTAAAAAGAGATGATATACGTATAGTGTGAAGCTAGTACGTATGGAGTGTTAATGTACGTAAAGAGGCAGGCGTGGCTGCAGGTGGCACCTGAAATGACCTCATTGCATTCACCCACGCCTCGCTCGTGCTGTAAACGAAGCTGCCGTCGATCCATGATGTCATTTGGTTTATCTGAAAATTAATAAAATGTAAATGGAATAAAATATTTAAAATAGGACTGACCCCATTTTTCCTAAATAACTTTTGTGATACAACTATTTTAAACTAGGTCAATTAGCACTTGTTCTTGAGATTTTCCAACAAAGTTTCTTTTTTGTGAATATCTAGAAGTTGCAGATCAAAACTTGTTAATATTCTTAAGCAGAAAAGAGATATCAATTATATTTTCGAAGTAAGCGCAGTTAAGTGCTTTAATATGTACACACGTAGCGTAACACAAATTAGATTTTATTGATATTCATAAAAAAGCCGTAGTAGCCTGTCAGGCAGAGGCCGTGAGTCCGAATTCGGGCTCGCATCTCTGTGTATCTTGAAATTCATGTGCGAAATTTAATTTAAAATTTGCGATGAGTTTTTCGGTGAAGGGAAACATTGTGACGAAACTTGCATGTCGAATAAGGTTCACAATACTCGGAAAAGGTGTTGGTCCAAGATGGCGGATTATGGCCTAAATTCTTGTGCAAGAAATTTGTACCCAGCAGTTGGACGTTTAAATGGGTTAATGATGGTATATTAATAACGACACATTTTGTAAAATAATATTCTATGTGGGCAAGTGTTCCTTGAATTTCTTTTATTTATAATGCATTTATTTATTATAAAATTATAACAAATATTTGTGGAGATTATTTGATTCTAATTGCGCTCCATTTAGAAATATAAATATGCAGGTGATTATAGATTGCTATAAATTATGAACGTAATTAGTTAATTTTAAATATGAGACACAACTACACAAGATAGATAAAAAAATGTACAGCAATTAATCGGATTAGATATGCTAAGGTGGGGGTTCAATTAGAATTCCATATCATTCCAACTCCATCGTTTGACCGTAATAGGCACCGGCAAAGCGAATCTGGGTTTATAGCATCGGCCTTCGGATGACTTCGACAATCGACAGTTTGCTATATACCGTACCATCAAGTAATGACTGTATACACGGCTCTATTAAATTTACTTTCAAATATAATATAAAGTAATAACATTTTCTTTTTAAGAAACCTGTGCAAGAAGTGTGTTTTACATGTATTTTTGCAATTTCAATTATGTAGTAAATATGTATTTGCAATCATTTTTATTTGATTACACTGTTTTGATGCTTCACGTCATTATTTTTTGTGATACTCTATTGAATGATGGTAAAGAATTGAAGAAGAGCTTTTTGTGAGTCCGTGTCATTTTCCTGCCTTTGCACACGATTCGGCTCATACCAATGACAACCTCCTTGGTCGAGTGGCTTACATAACGGTTTTCGTGCTGTCACCATACCTGAGGTCCCAAGTTCGACCCTCTGCCTGGTTAATGTAGAAAACTAACTTTTCTATATTGTCTCGTGTGTGGGTGTTTGTCATAGCCTCGTTGTTTCCGATTTCCATAACACAAGTGCTCTAGTTACTTACTTTGGGATCAAAGCAACGTATGTGATGTAGTCTAATATTTATTATTTATTTAGACTGCGTAATGAATGTAAATATAAATTGTTATTGCTTAAATTCTGTAATTGCTTTAGAGAGGTGATGAATTTTAATTAGCTTTTTTATGCTACCAAATGACGGGACGAGCAAGACGTGCACCTCGCGGTAAGCGACACGTCTGTCCATAACATTGCAGTGCCACTCAGAGCTTTAATAGCAAAGATCAGTGCCTCTATCACGAGTTTACTGCGTCGCTAGCGACTGCGTAAATCACTTCACAATTTCGTATGGTAATTTATACAGTGCTGCTAGCGGTTACAAGAAGAAACAACGTTTTGTATACAAACATTTTACACGTTCGCTGGCGATAACTGTTACTGTAATCTCATGGTAGAGGCACTGAGCGACACTGCCTGTGCGTCCGTCATCCGAGACATGAATTGACAAGTCCCATGTATTATTAATAAATCCTTATCTTATGAGTACCGAGCTCATCAAAGTACAGGAAAAATTTTACGTTAATAAAATCGTAAAGGTCTTTCAGAATAAATTTTAATTGATTCAAATGATGCTCAACTAACATTTTCCTGGAAGGGAATCGAAGCAAATTTTTGTCATTATAACCTAATGATGATGATGACCTTAATACCAATTGGGTCGCGTACCAGGTCGCATATCTTTCGGAGAATACTAGCACAGTCTCGGAAATTGTCGTAGCCTCCGTATCGTACTAGATTGTACGTTAAACAATTGACATCAAGTTCATTATGGTATTTACAATTTTTAAAATAGGTTGTGCCTTAAACATTATTATATTAACTTTTACATTATAAGCTAATGAAACTATTTTTTCATTCAACCGTGACCATGTAAAAGCGTAGAAATAGGGCACGAAACGATGGTTTGTTTGAAAACACGAATATAAGCTGGAAAAATAGTTTCATTTCCTACAATCGCGAAAATCTAAGAACTCGATTTTAAACTGTAGATAAAAAATTTAGGAAATTAAGTACAGTGTATAAAGATATAGTAAAAGCGTAGAAATATTTGTTAAATTATAGTTTATGTAGGTTACCTTATCTGTAGGGTTATTTTTGAATAACATAAAACCTCCTATATGGCATACAACCGAATATTGGATGCGAAATACGAGTACGCCCAGTCTATTATCGTGCATCGCGTATCACAAGTATGTTCTAATATTCTAAAAACTTTGATGATATGTCTAGATAAAAACCTTATTGAAGTGATTTTATTTGTAAGTTGAATGAACAGACTGTATTTTTAACCGATTTCAAAAAGGAGTAGGTACTCATTTCAACTGTATTTTCCTTTTTTCGTTGTATGTTACGCGATTACTCCTACATTTGTGAACGGATTTCGATGATTCTTTTTTTTGTTGGAAAGGATTCAAATTTTGAAGAAAACATTCCACTTCAAGGGTTCTTCTTAAGGGTGGTAAGTTAGGGGATGAGTCCGGTTTATTAGATTTCATTCACTTTCCGTTAAACGATTTCAATAAAACTTGGAAAATTTTGAGGTCGGTTTTGTTCAAAATTTTAAAAAGATTTGGAACTGTAATATGAAGAAATATCGATTTTTCAGCAAGAAGTACGAATTTGAAACGAAAATTAAATATTCACCTGTTCCCTAGGACTATTCGGACTCTGCCCTGTAGCTCTATCATAAGCGGCTCTCAGGAATGGCATGTACTTGGCTCCCTGGCAATCAGGATCGTACATATGATCACACTTATCCACCGGAATGCGATGATGCTCGATGGGGCAACCGGATTCTGAAGCCATCACTATCTCACCAGTTACCACTTGTCCTGTGTGTTAAAACGTAGACATTATAAAATGTGGCTGAATTGATGCAATACAATTATTTCAATCTACGTCTGAGATTGAATCATTTCACTTTCAATCATTTCGAAGAAGTATAGAATTTGTTAACATACACTTCTATGGGCTTGAATTTTTATACTGATTCAAATATATCAATGGTAATATGATCGGTGATTTGTAGAAAGGTCGAAAGCGCTATTTCGAAGTTTTTTCAGGGGAGCATGTTTTAGGTTTTATCGACTGCTTTAAATATTTACGTTCTGCTTTAAAATTCTATTTTGATTTTAATCAAGTTTAAGTTTTAAAATTGAATTTAAAATAGGACGCAAGTATTTTCAAACAATCGTGAAAAATTAAAACATACTCTCCTGAAATATTTTTCGAAATTGCGCTTTCGCCTTTTCTACAAAAGACCAACTACCTATATGTACAATACCTACTATAGAAGTTTTCAAGTAGACTAATCATAGTTAAGTTTTAATAAAATCACCCCTCATGGAAGAATGGCATAAGTGGAGTTATGTCAAACATGTTTATTGCTCCATTAGATACAGAAAAATATAACCCACATCTTCTCCAATTCTTGTAATTCTATAGACTCATATTGTAGATAGAGTTACAAGAATTGGAGAGGATGTGGTTTATATTTTTCTGTATCTAATGAAGCAATGAACGTTTTTGATGTAACTCCACTTATGCCATTCTTCCATGAGAGGCGAGGGATGATATGAATAGTTAAATTTGACAGTTGTTTAATGCTAAATCTTGACAAGTTCACACAGGTGGCGCTACGGCAAAAATGCCGTTCGAACAAAAGATCCACAACAAGCACATTGAGAAGTTCGTAAGATGTACTGACTCGAACCGTAGTTCATTTGGTAAGAGTGGTAACCACATTGAGGCAATAGACACTGGTTATATTGCAGTCGGGTCGAAGAAATTTTTCTTTCAGTTTGGTCGATCTTTGTATCAATAAATAATAACAAACTATATAACAAATAGAATATCACCGTAGTATAAACACTGATATTCAATAGAAAAAAGTTGTATTATTAAGTTTTTTCACAATAGGTGCAGGTACAGTACTTACCAAAGAAAGCCAACAACGCGGTGCGATTGGCAAGCGAAGGTAGCCCATCTTGACCCCGCATGAACAGTTTGGATAGAGTGCGGGCACCTGGTCTGTCAGCTCCCGCCATCATGTAAACACCGTCGGCGTACGCGGCGGGTGACTTGCGCGTCAGTCGACTACCTGGAAAGACACAACTTTGTTGTAGAAATTTTAAAATAAGTATATAAAACATCTACAAACTAAGTTTGGCATACATATCCTCTCATTACGTGAAATAATTTTAACCTCCAAAGACTCCGTGTACATCTAAATGTACATAATATGTGAACTGATTCAGATCCAGACAATATTATTCCTATGATTAAGTAAACGCCCAGTGTAGGGGAAGTGGCATGAAAGAGCCCAGCTTTTGAAAGAGTCGCTTGTAATATTTCGGTAGTTTCAGATCGAGTTTTGCACGACTTGTTATTTTTAAATGGCGACACTAATTCTGCGTCACCCATAAACATTTGACAGTTGGTCGAAACCAATAAACTAATAAAAATACAATTATAGGAACATCTGTAGTCAGCGAAGGTAGCTAAAGGTACCACTCTGAGTGAAGAAATAAATATCTCACAGATGGCGCTACGCCAAAAAAGTTATTAAAAACCAAAAACAAAGATCTGCAAGAAGCACGTGGAAAAAATCGTAAGATCCGCTGGTTCGTTCCGTGACTTAATTGGCAGAGCATCTGACACGGATTGCCTGAGGGTGGTAATCGAATGAATTTTTGTAATTGTTCGATCTTTGTTATTAATAATTATGACAAATAGAGGAATAATTTCACAAAAAAATTATTGAATATCACGGTAGTAAAACATCGTGACATTCAATAAACTTAAACGAAATATTTCAAACTTTTTGTTATACAAAACTAAAGAACGTGTAAAGCAACCATTATTAAAATACTTGATCGTTCATAAAATGTAATAAATAAAAAAGCATCAACTAGGGTTTACGAACTTTATAAGAACGCAAATTGAACCAATGTATTAATAGGAACTTAAAATAAGTGAATAAAAAAAAAATATTTTATTTATTAATTGAGCATTGGCAATAAAAATATTTATTCCACTTAATTTTTTATTTTCAAATATAATAAATAAAAAGTAAAAGAACCGGAAAGTCTTTTGAAAAAACGATACGTTATTGACTAAAGTCCCGCCAACTGTGCCACTGTGTATATTATTTTTTAATATTAGACAATATCACTTACGTTGTTCTGATTACCGAATTATCTGACCAAAGAAAGCAGCTGTTTTATCTAAATTGGAAACAATGACGGTACCACAAACACCCAGGCTAGAGACAATATAAAAAAGTTAGTTTTTCTACATTGACCCGCCGGATCGAACTCAAGACCTCCGTTTTTTGTTTATGAATACCAAGTAACGAGACGAACAACTCATGCGCCTGACGGGATGGTGACTTGTCTATAACAGTTGCAGTGTCGCTCAAAGCTTTAAATCGCAAAGATCAGAGGGGCACTGCACTGCACCTCTCACCCTGAGACATGATATTCCACAAGGAGCTCTACTGCTGCTAAAATATGACCACCTCAAAGATGGCGACACCATGAAAACCGGTGTGCAAGCCACTCCACAATGGAGGTCGTTTGTAATAAATAATTAAAATGTATTTAATTTTCAATTTATTGCAGTGCACTAAAATTTTAATAAAACATTGGTTGTTGTGAAAAAAATGTTGGTTTTAATATGGACCAAAACTTATTTACTCTGTGTGGCAATAGCAAGGTGGTTCTCGTAAACTTAATTATAAAAATAATATTGGAGCAGTTTCAGTGGAAAGTTGTTTCTCATAACTTATTACATCTGGAGATTATTGCATGTTTCACATATTTGGACGTACCTACTTTAAAAATGCATCGTGTGTAAAGAATATATCACTGTAATTCAAATACGGATGATAATTCGTAGCTAAAAGCAATTATACTTCAGGCTAAAATAATTTTTAATACAGTATTGAAAATAGGAATAGCCATTTACTTTTTGTACCACCGCTGGTGGTCATTTTGAAGTACTGGCAGAGCTATGTAATTAGTAGCAGTAGAGCTCCTTGTGAAAGAGTTCGTCCAGGTAAGTAGCTTACCTATTTCTGTCGCCAAGAAGTAATGTGATCATTACTGCGTTCCGATTTTGAAGGGTAAGGGTGCTGGCGAAATTACAGGCACATGCTACTTGTCAACTTATATCTCGGAGTGACGAGCGCAGTGGTAGTGCCCCTCAGATCTTTGCAATTTAAAGCTCTGAGCCGCACTGCAACTGTTATGGTGTCGTTTACCATCAGGCGATCACGCGTCTTGCCGTAGGACCATTTAAAAGATGGCTTGCTCGTTCCGTCACTTGGTATTATAAAAAAAAGTGTTGTGGGATGGCAGGAACGTTCAAAATCATTTAAATGGTCCTACGGCTGCTTTAATTGGAAATGCTTGTAATTATTTAAACATTCCGAATTATACTCTTACGACGGAGTTCAAAGCCAAGGAGCAACAATTAGTTCGACGAAGATAAATCTTTCCGACTGAAATTGACTTCTTGACAGTTAACAAGTTAATTGATTGCTTTAAAAAATATCTCAGCACTGTGTAACTTTCAAAACCGCATAGCACAATGACGATATAAAAAATGGAGACCCGTTTCAATTCTCTGTGATTAATAATTCATCAGCAGTTACATTACACAATTTATTGAGTTTATTGTGTGCGTGCATATTTTTGCACCACGCCTTTTTAAGTGGGAATTTATTGTTATTAGGTAGGAGGGATGTGTTGGAGTTGCGTTGCAATATTTGTATGAGTATTTAACTATTTGTGAAGTCAATTATAAAGTGCAAACCAAACACCGTGGTAGCCTAATAGTTTGACCTACCGCCCCTCAAGCAGAAGTCATGGGTTCGAATTCGGGCTCGCACCGTAACTCGTGAGTTTTTTGGAATCTACGTGCGAAATTTAAAGCCTACGAGTTTTTCGATGAAGGAAAAATTCGTGATGAAACCTGCATGTCGAAGAAGGTTCACAACCCTTGGAAAACGTGTGAAATCCCTAACCCGCATTGAGCCAGTGTGGCGGACTATGGTCTAAAACCCTGAGGAGGAGCCCCGTGCCCAGCAGTGGGATGTATAAAAGGGATTGATGATGATGAAATAAATTTAAGCATAATTAACAATGTTCTTGTCGTTTTCGTTATTGACAGTACAGACAATATTTTCCATTTTTATCTATTTATTTATTTATAAATCCTTTACATGTGTTGTTGTTACCAATATTTACTTATACACTAACAAACACATGCACCTTGCAGGCAAAATGGAAGGGATAGGGGCAGACATTAATTATAAGTCATCCTGGAAATACTCGTACACCACATCGTAATAAGTCTTAGACATTAATATTTTTTCACTGTATGAATATATTTATATTTGGTTCTGTTTTTGACATAGAATGAGGTCCGGAAGTATGTATCTTGTTTGCACAAGGCTGTTTTTTTTTTCGAGGAGTGATGTGTCGCGGTGCGTCTCTTACTAATAAATATATTTGCAAATTTCCTGTGTAATATATATCTGGCAATATCAGCATGTTAAGTTTTTTAAAGTGTGGTTTACAGCTTTCTAATAGCTTTATATTTGCAAGAATTTATTGAAAATAGTGGAGTCGTTAATAAAAAACGCTATTGCTTACTCATCTGCCGTAAAAGGCTCGTTCTTCATTGACAATTATGTTTTTTTAAGGAGGCTATCGGGGAGTTAAAAAGGAATTATTTATAATACAAAAAGCCGACGTCAGTACGTTCGCACTGATTGATTTATGAGTAAGACTTAAGTCGCGGGTGACACCGTTTTGACAGCTCGTTGCGATGGAATTGGAATCGATGACGGGAGCAAGGTGACTGACAACATATGAATCAGTTTCGCAGGTGATATTCTTGAGTCGTGGTCAATGTTCACCGACACCATGGCGCCGACTCAACCGGCGAGAAGTAAACCCGTGAGGGTTTCAATGGCGTAGGCCCTCCAGTCTGAGGGAGAGTCCTCACATAATCCCTGGGCTCAAGGGTATCTATAAAGATTTCCCACCGTCAAAAAAGGTGATATTCTTGAACTTTAATGAGCTAAATAACATGCTAACAAATGGACGATGGGTCTAATGCAAACTCCACGAAAATAAGTCGAGTTAACCTATATAAAAGTACTGATACCAACCTAAAAACATTTAATTAAATTGTAACGTCATAGCAGTACCTACTGCTTAATTTTATTTGCAACAGACCCAACAATTCACCATATTCAAACGTCTACAGAAACTACGAAATTCACTGTATTTACCTCCTAGTGAAAACTAATGAACTAGTTAGAGTAGCTTTTACTCTGAATATTAATTTATTTACATTATTATAATGTTATGTAGATTTCTATATAGATACAAATTCACTAAAAGAAATAATAAAAGATTGTGTAGATATATACATATGAATATTATAAATGTGCATATAACTTTGTCTAATACAATTTTCCATAAGAAATGCATCTATGTTGACAATTTTTAAATTTCAATTCAACGTAAACTCAAATTTTCATAATCCCGAAAACCGATTAATTACTAATAATGAAATCGTTATGCTTTCAGGGAATTTCGGAGGATTATCGCAAAGAAAAGATTTAGTTAGAGTAGGTTTGTTTTGTAATATTCCTAAAAATAAAATAAAAAATTGCTTTCGGGATTATGAAAATTTGAGCCAATGTATTTTCGGACTTCTGAGAGGTAACCCCAAGTCCTCAAAGAAGTACAACAATATTTTGTATGTTATTACTAATATTTTTTACAAGTAAGACTAATATCAAAGCAAATTTATAAAATCTTTGTTTTAAATGTTTCAATCGCCTGTGATTCGAACAATTGAAATGGACGTAATTCTCTCTTACTTTTGCGCATGCAATGTGTAGAAAAAGGTATTTACTTTTTGATTATTTTGATTGCATTTGTAATTTGTTACGATTAATTTAAATATGAATTATGGTATACTACATTTACTATTCTACAAAATACCACTTTTAAATGATAACTACAAATGATAATTTTTACACAAAATATGACATACCATCCTGTTTTTTTACTTTAGTCG